TAAAATTCCAGTATATTTAGTATTACTATATAAATAATCAGAGCTGTTACTCAACTATCATCAGATACTGAAATGCCAATTTGATTGTGCAATACATTTTCCCTGCAATAAAAATACAGTTTTCTGAGGTTTATTAAACTTTTTCTGAACTCTTATTTTTGCCTTCGCCTTTTTATGCCACCTAAGAATCCTGATGGATGTTAAGGTCAAGTGAAAAAAAAAAAGGAAAGCAGTAGCTAGTGGTTCTCTTAGTTAATGCGGTCACATTTCACATCTTGAAGCTTGTGTTTAGATAGTAAGCTAAGTATGATAGCCTTATCCAAGGCCATATTGGATGTCGTTCCTATCATAAAACCACTGTTTTGGATGACACAACTGAGTATGGGCAGACCCAGCAGTGAACCAGAAAAGCTATTTATCTAATTTATCCTCAGCACAGCTGTGAACAGTGGGAGCCCCATCACTAATCCAATAAGGAATGCATTTATGAGGAAGTATTATAGTGATGGGGCCTAAAGATCTTGCAAACTCGCCCCATCCCCCAACCCTTTAGCCAGATGACTCTCTAGCTGCAGGATAACTTTGGACAAAATCGACCTGAGATAATTGACCAGTCCAATCTACATCCTGCGGGTCTTTCCTTGTCTTACGCTTTGCAATCAAATGTAGTAGAGTAGCTAATTTTAAGCAAGCTTTTACTGGAGTATTTTCTAATTAGGCTTCCACTTTTGGCTCCCACACACAAAAGGCTAAGGTAAGTGGCTCCTGCTTGTGGCTGGCTCAGACCCAGTGTGATAGGAAAGTCTCTGAGAAGTTTTCTCCCTACCTTAGGCTCCTGCACAGGGACTGTAGGGTGGGGAGCAGAGCTGCTACTCCATGCTGTCACCACTTGTTAGCACTAGCCTCTCCAAAAGGAGTGAGGTGGTGTAGTGGCCACACCTCTGTCCCCATACCTGCCAGTAGAGTTGGCTAACTACAGAAGGCAATGCAGGCTGCACCCATTTAAAAGGCATGTGCTAATTTGTATCTTGGGTTGCTCCAGAAAGAATGCTAGCAGTGATATCTCTCTGTGGATGAGCAGGATCACATATAGCTTCTCTGCATGCAGTTCATCCAGCGAAAGCCAAGCCAAGCGGCTGAATCCATATGATTTGTATAGGGGAATGGCACCTGCACTTTGGCATCCTGCTGTTTGAGGAATGTGACCAAGATAAGACATTCCACTTCCTATAGCTGATGTGGGATAATTGCTCATGTAGAAGAATTGGCAAAGACTATTGCAGTCAGTAAAGTTTAAAAGCGTTCCTTTTAATTGAGCGGGTAGGTGAGAGAGGCTGATTCTGGTTTTATTATAAGATGATTGAGATGTATGATAATGTACGCAGGAAATCAAACATCTCTTTAATTGTGTGCATCCTTTTACTTGGGGACAGCAAGCAGAGTATTCCTATTACACTTTGCTTTACACCTTCCCTGGAGTTCTGCATCCCAGCCACCTTGCCTGCTGAAAAGGGTTCAGGTGAGGTCTGTCAATACCACTCTTAATTGGGAATTGAGAAATGCAAAGCTCTCCCTCTACCTAGAAGCAGTTCATACAAAAATTACCAGCCTATTTTTATGATGATAAAATTTTTAACATATGCTCTTCTCCCATGGTTAAATAGGAGGAAATAGGTCTTTGCCTGTATCTGACTTTGTCCCTGGTGAATTGTATAGAATCTGTACCTTGGTTTAAACATAAAATGTCCTCACATTGAAAAAGCCTGCCTGAGATAACATGCTAAGTATCCCCCGGGGTGGTATCTGAAGAGCCATTTGAATATGAGTATTCAAGGTGGTTTGTACACATAGCCTAGGGTAGATGATGAACATAAATGAACGATTGCATGATTGAATTTCTAGTTTGTGCCTGTACCAGGCACGAGGCAGCTCCTCTACAGTATGAACATAAAAGATGCCCCAAGGAAAGGGAAGGAACATACAAGTAATGCTTGGATATTTCCCAGTGGGAAAAGGATATCAGTGTAGCAGAGTGTAGTGCCCAGCACAGAATGACCCCCAACCAGTTTCAAGACAGGTGATGACTTGTTCCACACAAAGATCAATTGAATTGCAAGAAATAAACCTAATGATAGAATCTAAAGCCTTAGAGCTGTTAGTGATTGGGCTCCAGAAGGACAAGGTTTTGTATTTGTTGTGCTTCTCTCAGAGAGTGAGATTGGTGAGGCTGTAACAGTCTTGTTTTCTGAACAACTGGCTAGGAAGAGAATTATAAACTGCTTGCCTGAAGAATAAAACTGAGGAGTTTCTCCAGCAGTACTTTGCTTTGCTGAGGCATCATGCTGCTTGTGCAGGAGGTGCCAAGTATGATTGAGAAAGCTGTTGGAACTGGGTGTATGTTCAGTCTTTGCCCTGCCCTTCTCCTCACACAACAACTGGCTCTCCCAGTGTTCCTGTGAAAATCATGCCAAACAATGCAAGCAAGTTTCTTTTTATTCTTGTACAGTCAAAATGTTCAGTTGCTTTAGTAACACTGGAAAACAAGCAACCCTCCCCTTGCTCCTTGCTGCGGGGGAGACGGAGGCTAATCTTGGGACATGGGGTGATGAGGGCATATTCTTCCTTTGCGCTAAGATTGTTGGAGGAGTCCTCAGGAAGGCTGCGGCAGCACATTCTTCTCTTTCCTGCTTCCATGCAACACATTCTTCTTTCCTCGTCTCGTGGGGTTTTTTTGCATCCCAACCTGCCACTGGGGTCTCAATAGCACATTATTTCTAACCCCCCTCTGACTCAGGGAGGAAAGCTTGCCAGCACATTCCCTCTGTAGGAGACAGGAGGGGGACAGGATACCAAAGCATATTTTTCTTCTCCAGACCGTAGCTGGTTTTACAGAGTCACAGGCATCACTGGCTATAGATCATCTGGTCTGTTTAGACCCAGCTGTCATAATGTTTATGTTCAGTCCTGTGACAGGGTCTGATGGCAATCTTTTATTCAGAGAATTTAATGATTAAAGGAAAAATGATCAAACTTGGGCACTTCATATTCAGCACCATAATAAAAGTAGTCTGATCTTCAAAGGTCCTGTAGCTTTCATTGACTTCAGTGGGAGCTGTGAGTTCTCTGAAAATCAAGCTAATTTTATTGTGTTGACTAAATATCAGTTTAGATGTTTAATTTTAGACACCCACTTCAGACATTTTTGGCTTAGATGATCATAATAAATACATGGACATAAGGATGGAACCATTTAAAAAAATCCTGCCGAGTCTTTTGCAAAATGAAGAATTTTAGACTGTATGTAGCATTCTTTAGCATCCTTAATGTTCTTACCATGTGACAGTAACATGGGCTATTGGTTTGATGTTTCTGGTGTCCTGTTTCCTTGATATCATCTTATGGAGGCTTCAGCGATGCAGAATCTGTCACAGCTCCGTGCAGCTCATTGCTTCTCAACAAAGTGGAATTTCATGTCCAGAGTAGGTGATCCCTGCTCACTAGTGGCAGGGGTGGTGGCATCCTTTCAATCATTTCATTTAGCTTCAACCATTTATTGACACTCATGCTTGACTTTCCCATACCAACTAGTATTCTTTATGGAACCAACCTGAAGCTGGTACTGGGACCTGATACTGGGAGCAGGCACTGCTATATGCCTAACTCCCTTGTAAGATGGCATGTGGATGTGGTAATGTAGTAAAAACCTAACTCTGAATGTGTCCCCCCGACCATTTAGTTTACAGTGGCCCAGAGTATGAATGTCCCAGTTTCTCTTGTGAAAATCTTCTGCAAAGCAGTCTGATTGCCACTGCTATATCAGGCCACTCATCTTTTGAGAGGGGTTGTTACTGATCATCTTGTTTTTCGGATGATTCTTAGCATGTTCTGGAATGGCATTAATCTGATTTCCCACTGATTTCTCTAGGAAAGTAAAGATAAAAACATAGTGTCATGCCACATTTTATATATGTGTAAAACATTAAATGTATTAAATATTTAGGGCCAAATTTTTAAAAAGGCAGACTTGAGGCCATACGCGATTATGTGTCTACAGGCAGGAAGTTACCATGATGACATGTGAAAATCAAGGGACTGTGTGCGCAAATAGCTATTTTGGAACCTGTTGAGCTGGTTGCATGGGCATTTACCTGATTTGTATGTACACTCGTGTTAACTACAAGTGCAAATATAGGTACACAATTGTGCGTGGACCTCCAGCTTCCCTATCCAAAAATGCGGCCCTCGTTGTTTAATACAGACCAGCACTTCAAGGAAATATTGACAGTAGCCCTTATGTACCATATTTGTTCTCTATTTCTTTTCACCTGCTTTTTAAAATTACTTAGGACATTTGCATGACAATGGGATCTCTTTATTTTAGAGTTAATGTCTTCTTGCTTTACCTGAAGTCCTATGCCTGTGATTGTGACATTGCAATCATTTCCACAGCAGACAGCTGTGATGTCAAATGCAAAAGATTCTGATTTTGGGGTAGGAAGCAGGCAGCTGGAGCAGATTAAATGCTTCTGAAGCAACACATAGTTAAAATACTAACAACAAGGAGCCTGAAGTCCTTAATCCTATAGCCCTTATACTCAGGTAAAACTCTAGTCCCAATGGAGATTATAAAAAAAAAAAAAACCTCAAGAAAATATATGTATAGCTGCAGAATTGTTTCTGAGGAGGAGGATTTTCAATAGTTTCCAGGAGGTATTAGCTGATGAGCTAAGTGCCTTTTTCATGAGATCACTATATTAAATCTATACTTTTTATCATCTGTTTTTAATCCCATGCAGATGTCTTTGTATTGTCTGTTTGTTATCATACGACACTTTGTCTAAAACCAGGAAGTGGCCACCTTTTTAACAAGGTGTATGCAAATTGATACCCATGAGCCTTTGCACAAACATCTTTCCAATCCTGTGATAATCATTCATCTAGAAAAATGAGTCTGAAAGCAAATATATCCGGCTTTAACAAACGATTCTCTTGTCTTACAGAGAGAGGATGCAAGCCATGGAGAAACAGATTGCCAGTTTAACTGGTCTTGTTCAGTCTGCGCTTTTTAAAGGGCCAAATACAAGTAATAGCAAAGATGCTTCTAGGTAAAAAAAAAAAATTCATTAAATCTGTTTCTCTGTAATTATTGTTAATGATCAATTAGCAAAATTAAACTTTTAATGTAATAGAAGACCGAACACTCAACATTTAAAATCTTTTTTTATCACTTTTGATAATAGCTGGATTGTTAGGCAGAGTGGGAAAAGTATTCCAGCCAATGAATGGAGATTTAACTGCATTGTTCTTGTTGATGTTAATAGGAATAATATGGTTAAATCTCTGTGCTTAGTGCTAGAAATGTACCCCTTTGCTTAACCTGTATTTAAAAGCTTATTTTGAAAAAAAAACAATCCACCCACAATTTAAATAAAAAACAACAACAACAACAAAACAAAAAAAGCCCTGACAACAACAAAAACCCAGTTTGTATGATCAACAGGGTAATTTTTATTTAATTGTGATAAACCTCACTTCAAATCTACAGTAAAGCTAGTCCTTTAAAGTTGCTTAAATAGCTATTTGCAAAAAAAAATCCATTTTGGAAATTTTAAAGCTGACTTTCCTTTTCTTTCTTTCTTTAGTGAGAAGATGGTGAAAACCATGTCCAGTAAGAGCAATATTGACAGTGCAGGTAAGACCATTCTTTTTTAATTGTACAGAATACACCAATCTACACTGTAACTCAGAGTTCTGTAGATATTAACATCTTATGGGAATGCACTGTAACTATAGTGTCAGAAGGAAGGCTATAGGCCAGTGGTTTTTAACCTTTACTGCAGCCTGCACTCCTTTGGTTCTCAAAATATGTTCTCGCACCCCTTATCAAAAATCAAAATATGTTCTCGCACCGCTTAAACCTAAAAAATATGTTCTCACGCCCCTTAAACCTAGATATATTTTTGTTTGTATATTACAGTAATCGTTAAAAATGTATAATGTTAATAAATACATAGGTTTGATGAAACAAAGTAGTTGTACTTACGTGCCTGTGCTTAATTTGTGTTTTCAATGATTTACCTTCTAAAAAAATCTGGCATGTCTCGCACCCCCAGGGGGTGCGTGCACCCCACGTTAAGAACCACTGCTATAGGCAAAGGATATGAGATCCAATCAGTTCCTTGTTACCAGTGGTTAGTCTAAAGGGGCAGGGTTTATTCTTCTTTCAAAGTGAAATTCACACCTGTGCAGGGAGACAGTACAAGGTTTAGGTAAGGCATAGCCCTTGTGCTGGTTTTCTGAAAAGGGGTGAATTTCACTGCATATGCATGTTTCCTATTATGTATATCCCCAGTCTGGACTTGTATTGGGGGGAAAAAATAGTGGTATCCTCACAAACTCCACCCAAGACAAGCTCTTCCTATGTGAGGTACCAAAATCCCATAGCGCACACAGCAGACTGTGCAGATATTAAGAATATGATCGCATGTGCTCTGCTGGGCCCTCCCTCTGCAGAGTTTAGATACAGCCATAGACAAGGCAGGATTAAGACATAGGAACTTGCCTATGACTATAGCTCTGAGTCGTATGAGGGTATTAGCATCTTGCTTACATTATTTTTAAAAATTGCTTCTGTCCCTTATGGTTGGAAAGGAAACTTGAAAATGTGACCCAAATGTAGCCAATGCAGTGAGGTGGGTTTGAGTGTGCAGACCAGCTCCTGCAGAGAGAGGAGCAGCAGCCAGTGGAGTCAGTGAGGAGTCTCTGTGAGCCCACATTCAGCTCCAGAGCAGACCAGGCTCTCATTGCTTGCATTGTTACTAAAACGCTATTTATGCGGATTGAGATGTTTTAAAATATTATTGAATACCTTTTTCACCTATCCAAATTGTCAACTAGTAAGAGAAATTTTTTTTTATCCATTGTGGAAATGTCCTATATAATTTAATAGAGAATTACAACCTTTCTGTAGGATGTTTAAGCATTCCTATAGAATTAAATAGATACTTCTAGCCCTGATATAGAATTTTATTGGTTGGTATTTAAAGCAAACAAACCAGCCCTACGACAAAGTATAATTCTAAATTAAATTCTATAGATTTTTAGTCACTCGCTACAGACCCGTTACATTTCTAAAGAACATTATAGATTTCATCTCTATTAAATTCTATAGGATTTTTCTGTAAGGGTAGTTTGGCAATAAGATGCTATAGATATAACAATGCTAAGAAACATAGCAGTCAGCAAGATAAGCCACATTGATCTGTTACTAACTATTGGCAACCTCCTAAAATGTGTTGGGTAGTCATCAGTCCCTAAGTCAGGATTAGGTCATATTTAGAGTCACTGTTCTGGGCAATTTTGAGGGATGGGATAAGGATACTACAAAAGAACATGCCAGCTAACATAAGCACCCATGCAACTACAGTTCTTTAAATTATTTGCAGAAGTGTCAGTTGCTATGGCAGTCTTCAGCGGCATTTATTAATTTGTCTCTTTCTGGGCCTGTGTGTATGTCTGTTACAGTGGATTGAATGCTAGCAACACTGTTCCAGCTAAGAGGACTCTGCTCTGGCATGAAATACAGGTTGCCAGCCTTACAGTTTATTAGCAAATCTATTATACCACTCACCAGCCATTCCAGTGGTGATGTTAATTCAGCTCCAAGAATTCCGTTCCTAGAATTGCAATATGACCTCAGATTGAACATGGCCAATAGAAAAACAGACCAGAACTAGAAAATATTGAACATGTGCAGCAGAGAACAATTTAAGAGCCTGATGCTAGAACTGCATCTCTCCAGTTGAACCCTTGAGCCTACATGGAACCCCACTGAAGTCAGGATCTCGCCCTAAATAGGTTGGACAATGTTCTTTGGTATAAAAACAGTATAGTTTGTAAAGAAAAAATGGCTGTTCAATACTTTCAGGCAACTTAGAGAAAAATAATTTGTCTTTCTAGGAAGCTACAATAGGATCATATTCAATAACATTCCGATCCTCTTCCCCAATTCATTGTCATTATACGATAAAAACAGATAATATTTTGCAGTCACATAGATCCTGTCAAATACAAAGCACCGTAACAACAATCACTAATTAACCTTCACAGTACCTGTACTAGGTAGCTATGGCAAGTATTATTTATTCTCTTTTTCCTGGTGGTGAAACTGATGTAGGGAGGTTTTCCCAAGACCACATAAACCAGTCTCATGACCGAATCTCTCCTGGCAGCCAATGCTGTGCCATTCCCACTAAACTGATGTATCATATATTTTGAACAATTTGAAAGGTTTCTGTTTCTGATATAGCACATGCACATTAACAAAGCATTTATAATAACAGGAAACTTGAAATCTACCCATCTTTGTATTGCATTGTTGTAATGGCACTGTGTACCTTTTAGGTCTTCTGGCTGTCCCTGTGCCTTTACTAACTCACATGAACCTTTTTTACAACACTGTTCAGGGATGGCGATCATGACCCCGCCATGCCCGAGACCTTGTATTCATGCAGCTACCTTCTGTTACCAAGTTCCCCCTAGGTCAGAGTTCAGATTTATGCGGGTCACCCACAAGTGAGGGTTGCTACCTAAGCCCAAGTTCCAATTCCTATTATCTTAAATAAAATCAGATTTTACTGGCATAGGGTAGTAATAAAGAGGGGGGTATCCCTTAAATAAAAGGGTATGTAAAATACACTCTACAAAAAAGCTCTGCTTAGTTACTGAGTTATAAATTATGGTTATATATGAAAACTTTACATAGTACAATAATCTTTGGTCTGACCAAGCAAGGACTGCCTCTGTTCAAGGCGTTACATGTTCCAAGGTATGTGGATAATTAGAGCTCCTATTTCCTTTATAGCTCAGCTCAGCTTGTCAACTTGTGCTAAATAATGCCTTTACTTTTCTCCAAACATTTGAATTTTAACATACCTTCACCCTCCAAAACCAGGTTTGCTGACTCTCGTTTGGTTTTGACCGATCCCTGACATGGATTGGGTATGGCCATTAGGCAATAGCCTCTTAAAATATACATTTCCACTTAACTACAGCAAACATAGCCATCGTCTTTAGTAATTTCAAATACCACTTTAAGACAGAGCTATAGAAAAACATTGATTGAGCAATCCCTTCTAGAGCACTGGGTAAGCAGAAATGTGAATTGCTTCCCATACTTAACAAAGAAACAGCTGTGGAAGATAAAAAGTGACTCCGAAATATAGTTCAACATTATATTGTACATCACATTTCCTGATGACCGGAGACTTTGATCAGACAGAAATAATATGGGAAAGGCTGATTGGAAACAAACTCAAACTAAATTGTACATACAGGTACCTGTCTGTGCTTTAATATTGTTATTTCGAATATGGTATTTCATGAAAACCAAAAAGTTCTATTTAGTTTGCCAACATTTGGGGTTTTTTAGCTTGAAATATTAAATAAATAAAATGAGACTGTTACAGTCATAAAGTCTGTTTATCATGTTTTTTTCCTTTAGTCTCATTCTGTTTTTTTCACAGAACTCTGTTATACACATCATAGAAATGATAATAAATTGCACAAAAGAGTTAAAAAAACAGTGATCTTCCACAAGTTTAGTTGTGCAACTCCCACTGATGTGAATGGGAATCCCATAACTATGTCCCTATAAACCACTTCAGCCCCCAAAAGCCAAGAGAAATTAGAATATTAGAAATAGAAAGCATATTAGAAATATTCTGTCCATTGATTTATATCTCTCCCAGACATATGTACACCAACAAACACCCACCCACCCTCACTCTTTCCCTTCTATTTTTCTTTTCAAGTGGCCGGGATAGAGAAGGCACAGATTGCCAAAGAACCACAGGCCCAATCCCACTTGCCTATTTCCCTGGAAGGGTGGGAGGAAGGGGCCATGAGAATTTCCTAAAAAGAGGTGGAATATATTTCTTTCTGTACTTTAAGAAGTTGTTATTTATTGGGGGGGGGATCATAATGCATACAATGTTTTTGTTTGAACTTGTCTTAATCCATCACTGTTGGTGGGTTGTGCATTGCAGTGGAGATCCTGCCCTTTGTGAATTCCTTATATATATGTCTTCAAAATGTTCTCTCATGGATACACCTGTTGAAAGTGGGCCATGCCAGCCTTCGAGCTCTGTTGACTCTTGCAAATGGAACATGATCCTTTAATGCATCCGAAGAAGTGAGGTTTTTACCCACGAAAGCTTATGCCCAAATAAATCTGTTAGTCTTAAGGTGCCACCAGACTCCTTGTTGTTTTTGTAGAAGTGCAAAGTATATTTTGTATTAAATGTCTTTTCCCCCTTGTCTAACTGGCCTTCTAATCACCAGTCTATAGCCTAGGCCTGCTTCCAAGAGAGAGAACTACACTTCCCATATCAACTATCTTCTCACTCAGCTGCCTTTTTATTCCTTTTTGATGAAATACCAATCTGTGGAAACCAACTACTGATCACCAGAGCACTCCCACGCTTGCTGAGAGCCTGCCCTATGCTAATATTTCATATTCCAAGTGCTTCCCTGTAGTGCTTGAGAAAGCAACGGGTACCAAGGCTAACAGGCGGCTAGTGCAGGCTCATGGCAGTGGTTGGAGTGGCACGCCAGAAAGATTAGGTTGGGCAGCAGGTGGGCACTTGTCTTTCAGGGAAACGGATCACAATCCAGCTCTAGTTACAAGGAGGACAGGCAAGCGTGGGAGGTATATGTACTGGTTGGGGGGTGGATTTTTGGGAGCGCTTATGGGTACAAGGCATATGCCTGCCTGTCTGATCACGGGTTTGGTGATTGATCTGTGGGAGCTATTGCCTGGGGCAGGGATTAAAAGGAGGGTAGGCTTTTTAAAAAAAATAAAAAGCCGAGAATTGTGGCTAAGAATCTGAACTGCTAGAGAACAGCTTTCAGAACCTTTGGGGGATCCTGTCTGTAGTGTCTGTGAATTTAATATTCTTCTTAAAAAGATGCAAAAAAAATGGTGCATGTGGGATGGAGAAAGTGAGATGTCCCTACAAAGCAAGCTGCATCATACATATTGGCAGATACATAGATAAGTATTGGTGTATAGTCAACTGCAGTGTGAAATGTGCACAGGATAGCAATAAACACAAAGGCTGCTTATTTCTCAAGCATTGCATTTTGTAAAGGAGCTCTCTAGAAGGGAAGAGAGTATTGAATGATGCTGAAGTGTAGCAAAAATGTGTGATAGCTTGCTCAGCAATGAATGAAGATGGTGTTATTTAAGATATAACTGGAGGGTGTTGAAGTAAGGTATAGCATTACAGCTTCAAGCCGGGGGTTAGATCATGTATCAGGAAGTCGATGGTATGGTACTGCAGTATACTGCCTGGGTGCAGTCCATTATGCATATGCTTTTATGGACAGGACTTGCTGCTTTGATTCCTGATTTTACATATTTAAATAAACCAATAAACATGTTTACAATTCTTCCCACCCCCACCTCTTTTTAAATGAAAACAAAGACACATCAGAAAATAGACCTTTTTTTGAAAAAAATCACCTTTTTTTCAAACATCTTCCGTGTGGGAAGGATTTGAGGAAATAATATAAGGCACATACACACCTGTTGCCAAAGGAACAACATGTTTGCAACAGGCTGTGCTGTATCTTTGTATGCTTTGCTAGTTGGCTAGACCAACTAATGATTAGTGGACTGGGTGTAAATATAAGTCCACCGGGTTCATTTTCATGCAGTGGGTGTGGTGTGCAGAGTGTTCTCTCTACACTCAGGATTTACCCTTAACAAGCAAAGAAAAGCTTGCAATTCTAGCTTTAGTTTGGTTTCATTAAACTTGTCATAGAGTGGGGCATGGGTGAAGCAAATAGTAACCTAAGCTACTATGCACTGGAAGGATTCCCACCATCATTGACAAGTTGCTTTCAGTTTATGCAGGCTGTAGGTTTTTCCTGAGAGTGGAGGAGGGGGTTGGAGTGAGGAGGAATGGGAGTGTCAGTTGTATAACAGACAGGAAATTTACAGACGTAGTGTCCTCTTACTCTGTGCACAAGGGACTGACTTGCCATTGTGACCAGCGGGGTGTGCAAGGCAACATAATACTGTGGAGTTATTCAAAAAATGAGGCAGGTCCTGCTTACAGTCTCTCACTCTGCCTGTTTCAGGGGGAAAAAACACACTAAGAAGACAATTTAAAAGTGAGAAATGTCAAAATGCAGATGTAATGTGAATACTGGCTGCTGATTTCGGATTTGATTGTATTACATAAAGAAAACTACTATGCATTTAAAAAGAACTGGCCTAACTTTGATGCTTGATCAAGGAATAATATTTTGTTAAGAACATAGTTTCACAGCTTTCTGTGATTGTTTTAAAAATCATGTGTAGAGTCCTGCACAACCAGTGCTGGTTTTAAATGCAATTCTGTGTACAGATAGCAATCGAAGATGAGGGGATGGGCAGATTAGTGGGGGCAGCATACAGTTGGATAGTGTCTGTTGTGCCACCATTTTATTTCTGGTTTGGGAATATGGTGCTTACTCTTTTTATACTTTTTAAGAATAGGATGACCAGAGAGCAGATGTGAAAAATCAGGACAAGGAGTGGGGGCATAATAGGTGTCTATATAAGACAAAGCCCCAAATATCGGGACTGTCCCTATAAAATTGGGACATCTGGTCACCCTATTTAAGAATAAGCCTGTGGAGTTGCTAGCTGGGAACATGTAACTGGTCATTGAGTAGCTGACCAAGATGTTTTCCTGTTCTCATTTTCCAGATACCTGTGTGCTTGGTTAAATCTCTTTCCCGTGCTAATCAGTCAACAAATAGGTAGTGCAGGATCTTTGTGTACTGATCAAGTCAGTCTCAGATGGCCCCTACATAGGGTGGGCATTGCCACATCCCCGGAATACTGGATACGCCAATACTTCCAGGAATTGCATCGGTCCCCCACCCCCATCAGCATGACCTTGCATGGTCACGCTGCATGAAGGATGCCATTTTGAAGAGCATACTGCCTCATCTCCAGCAGCATGACCGCATGTGGTCATGCTGGAGGGCAGAGTAGCGAGCTCTTCAAAATGGCATTGTCCATTCATGATCCGACACAAAACCGTGTCCAGTTTTATTTCTGTACCAGACAGAGGACAAAATGATATTTTTTAAAAAGGCCAAATTCATCTGGCTTAAAACTGGATGAATGGCCTGCCTAAGCTAGGGTTACCATACGTCCGGATTTTCCCGGACATGTCCGGCTTTTTGGGCTCCAAATCCCCGTCCGGGGGGAAATCCCAAAAAGCCGGACATGTCTGGGAAAATCGGGACTGGCGGGGCTGGGCCGGGGGCCGGCGGGGCTGGGCCGGGAGCTGGGCGGGGGCCAGCGGTGCCTGGGGCCGGGCGCCAAGGGCCGGCGGTGCCTGGGGCCGGGGGCCGGCAGGGCCTGGGGCCGAGCACCAGCGGTGCCGGGGGACGCCGAGCGCCGGCGGTGCC